AATTTATTTAAATAAGTACGTGCTAGCCACTGGGTAATAATATTGCACCAAAGATGCAGCAGTGGTAATTAATTTACCTTGTGCTAATTTTAATTTGAAGCGTCTCCAAACTCTTTTGGGGAAATTAAGTCAATATAAAATAGGTAAATGTTGATACTGAAAATTTAGCTCAGCAGGGATTCAGCATCTACTGAATAACTAACACTGTAGGAAACATGAAAAAGAAGGTACAACCCAAGTCTTTCATTGTACCCAATGATAAGCAGCTCACACTGAGCCCACCAGGCTGCTTACAGCCTGTCTAGCTCTTTAATACTCTCTGTGATCTAATTTCAGGATGAAATATTTAAAAGTTCCTTCTGAATTGTTATTAATCAGAAATGCCCATATATTATCATTTTAATAGCTAAAAATCATTACCAAATTTTTCCTAGACACTCTTTACCCCAGAAAAATTGATGTTGTAAGAAAATACATTACTATGCAATTCAATAGTTACTTTCTTTTTCAATGAAAAAAGAAACACTTAAAAGATATTTTTATAAGTTTGTCTTCATAGACCCTCTTTCCCCCTCCGATTAAAAAAAAAAAAAAAAACCTAACTACTGATCACATCTAAGTAGAAATTAATAGTTCTGTCAACTTGGAAATGATAAGTGAACTGTCAACCTTACAAAGTTCAATCACATGCCAAATTGCTCTGAACTTTCTTTAAATGAAGGACAGCTTACTTCAAATGATCATGTTGGTTTCCATTTTGTTTTGGGAAAACTAACTGCAACATAACTTGCTCCTACAATATATTCCATAGAACTGTGATTTAGTAGGGTTCAATATTTCATGCAAGTCACTCAGCTCCTTTGAAAGTTTTAATGGAGCAAATAAAAAAGTAGTGGTGAAATGAAACCTGTATCTCTTTTCTTTAATACATCACTAATATTTACAAAGACCTGGCTTCCTAACAGAACCTCTAGTGCATGCATTCTTAACAAGTGCAATATCAATCCCAAGGGCTATTAGGGAGGGGACAAAGAAAACCCTTAGATATTACAGTGGTTTGTGGGCCAAAGTACATAAACAGATACACAGTATATCTGTGATATTAAATTTTTATGCTGGGAGGGGGTTTGGAAAAAGGCCCCTTGGTAGGGGAAGGCGTGATAATGGGGAAAGAAAAGTTGAAGAAAAGCTGATCTGGCATAATTAAATTTTGATCAGGTGACAACTATTAAATTAAGCAAAGGAATTTATTTTTAATCCTTCTCAACTTTATTATGTATTTGTTTTTTCCATCTTTTTCTTCTATACACAATATAATAGCATTAAAGAATTTTAATGAAGCAATATCCATAATGTCATTATGTTATATAATTTTTTCATGTTTGCATATTATTTATGTAAAACCATAAATGAACACTGTTTTTTAATTCTGTTCTATGCACTTGTATACATATTTTAATCTTTTTATACAGTCTTTCTAATTACTATTTTAATAAGGATACATGAAATTCAGTTGTGCTTATGTTCTTTCTTGGTTCTACTTCTATAAATCAAAATTCCTTCCCTGTTTTCTTTGCAATTCTGTTTCTCTTGACTACCTATTAAAAGTTGAGGTGCTCCAGAATTGCATCCTACCTTCCTCCCCCTTCTCACAAAATGTCCCAGAGCAATCTCACCCACCTTCTCACGGCATTCAAACCTTTAGCTGCAGCCCAGACTTCACTTCCGAATTCCAGACTGTATTTCCAACTTCTTACTGCATATCTCTATTTAGATATTCCTTAGACTGTTTATCCCTGGTCATGTAGACTACTTCCTTCCCTTTTAATCTCATCTTTGCAGCCAAGTCGTATTGATTGTATTGTTTTTGTTGCATTACTATCTTCCAAATAACCCTCTTCATTCACTCTGTTGTCACCTTAGTTCAGGCCTTTATCTCAAACTTAGACAAATACAATATATTCCTAGGAATCTCTCTGCCTTCATTCTGGCCATCTTCCGTAATGTTCTCTGACTAGACTTTCTAAAGCAAAAATCTGCTCCAGTCACTTTATTGCTTATAGCTGTGCTGTCCAATATAGTAATGACAAACCACATGGGGCTGTTGAACACTTGAAATGTGGCTAATCTGAATAAAGATTTTCTAAAGTGTAAAACCCACACCAGATTTTGAAAACTTTGAAAAAAACTGTAAAATACTTGATTAATATTTTTTATATATTAGATTGACTAAAATATTAAATAGGAGCTCTGGTGGCATGGTGCCGAAGGCATTTGACTGCTAACCAGAAGGCTGGTGGTTCAAACCTACTAGCCACTCCTTGGAAGGAACGTTGGGCAATCTACTTCTGTAGTGATACTGCCTTGGAAACCCAAGGAGGGGTCCCTATGAGTTGGATCCGACTCGACGGCAGTGAGTTAGTTAGTTTTTAAAATATTAAATATATTAAAATTAATTCCATCCATTTATTTTTACTTTACTTTACTTTTACTATGAGTACTAAAAAATTTAAAATTATTTATGTGACTCATTTGTGGCCTGCATTATGTATCTCTTGGACAGTGCTGGCTTATAGGCTAGCGTTCAAACCCCATATCCTTGAATTGTGATCTTTTCTCATCTGTATGTCCCTGGGTGGTGCAAGTAGTTTGCAGTTGACTGCTAACTTAAAGGTTAGGGATTTGAACCCACCCAGCAGCCCTGAAGAAGAAAGGTTTGTCAGTCTGAGTCTATAAAGATTACAGCTAAGAAAACCCTGTGGTGCAGTTCTATTCTGTAACTCATGGGGTTGCCATGAGTCAGAATTGAGTCAAGGCAGCAGATATGGTTTTGCTTTGGATCATTTGACAACTATCTGCATACTTCATTGCAACTTCTGCCAACTACCATGCAAAGAGGGCTAATTTTTGTTTGTTTGTTTTGTGTTTAAAAGAGGACCAGTCAGTGTCAGATTGACCTGGGTTCATACTAGGACCCAGTCATGCACCACTCTGTGGTATGGAACAAGATACTTAAGATCTCTAAATTTCAGTATCCCCAGCTGAAAGACAGAGATAATAGCTATCTCAAAGTGCCTAATGCATAAAATTTAATTCTTCCAAATACATTCTAGCCATGCCAAACTGTTTTCAGTTCCTCTTTTCTTTCCATTGAAAAGAGCAAGTGATGATTAAGATGTGTCTGTGACCTTAATATTCCTAAAAGTATGCAATCCTCTTTCCTTATTTAGTCACTGAGATTTCTTTTTGTTTTTTTCTACATTCACCATAGATCATACCTGAGAACCTCTGTTTTCCTTTATTGTTTCATTTAATATCCTGTCCTAGAGAGTTCATTTTAAAAGAATGTATTATTGTAACATTGAAGAAGTTTCAGGTCAAATGAAGAGCATAATCAAAAAGATTTTATCTTGTTCTTGCACCATAAGAGAATATAATTTTATTCTGTGATCTGATATCCCATAGCCAATTCTTTAAACAAAGTAGAATTTAAATTTAACCTTGGAATACCACCTGAAACAATGTTTTCTCACTCATCTTCCTTTTATCTTCTCCTAGCCCTCCTGCCTACAAATATCTTCTACCCTAGACCCACACATTTAGCTACCACTCACATTAACCACCTACTTAAGGACATTTATATCAGCTAGGCCAGTGAGGGAAGAGGGAGCTCAGCTCACAGGGGATCTTCACCATGTACTAGAGTTTATTACAATTGACACCTCAAGACAAATGTTCTGACAAATCTTAAAGTGTTTCTGATGGCCAGAGTTGTCAAAGATAAGAATATGGTGAAATGTTTTAAATGTGTTTGTTAGAGCATCTTTTGAGTGCTCCACTCATGGATTCTTCTTCTTTAAAAAAAAAAATGTGATTTTTGGGAAAGTTATAGAACAAATTCATTTTCCGTATAACAGCTCATACTCATTTTGTTCCATGGCATTGATTGCAATCCTTATAATGTAACAGCTCTTTTCCCACTTCCTCTCTGTGGTTACCTTTTCCCTGTGTCCTTCTTTCCTATGCATTCCTGCCCCCTGAGCTATCTCCCTGTACAAATGCTGCCCTTCAGATCTCCCATGGTTAATTGTTCTAAGGACTGTATCTACCTTGTATACATGTTCACCTTATACGTCTCTCTATTGCTTGGCTAGAAACCACAGGAGTAAGTTCAATTCCAGGCCTGAAAGTCTAGGACATTACACAAGTCTCTATCAGACCAGTAAGCCTTGTCTTTTTTATGATTTTGAGTTTTGTTCCACATTTTTTTTCCCACTCTATCTAGGATCTCCTACCCTGATCCCTTTTTGTCCACTTAACAGTTTCTTAACAGTTCTTTCCCATAGGCAAAGTTTAGAAACACAACAGCATTCTAAAAGGAATGATGAGACTCAGAAACTTCTGGCTAATGTCTCTCAAATATAAAATTTGGCCTTTCAGATGAAGTGGTCACCTTTTCCTTATACAATGTCAGCATTTTGAAATGGGTAACGGATATGGATTAGGTAGGAATTGAATGCAAATGTATTTTGCAAATAGTGTCTTTTGAGATAATCAAAGATGATGACTGAATGTTGAAGGTATTAATACAATCAGTATTTAACCTTGTATAACTCCGCTTCATCAAATCACGCCCTGCACATTGATTGCATTAAGCTGGGTCAGTGGTTTCTTGCTTAGGAAAATCTTATAAGAATCTTAACAGGAAGGCAGCAGTAGCTGATCAGCTACTGTTTATTTGCATACTGAGCGTGTCATCAATAATACAAAAGACAAGGTCTTTAAGTTGAAAGAACAGTGGGATTGGCATGAATTTTGCTTAATGGTGCGTAATAAGCAAAGTAGTGTGTGGTGCCAGAATCTGACAGGATCCATTATGTTAAAACAGATATATGTCTTTAATTTAGAGGTATTATGTAAATCTGACAGTTTTCCCTTTATTTTCCTGTAGTTTAACTTTAATTGCTCCGAGATTAATTCTGATTTCTCCCTTTCTCCAGAGGGTGATGAGACTGGCGTGATGGATAATCTTCTAGAAGCCCTACAATCAGGTGCAGCATTCCGAGACCGCAGAAAGCGGATTCCAAGGAATCCAGGTAAAACCCATTCCAGTTCTCACAGTATTATAATACATGAATGTTCAAAGCCAAGAATGTAACAACA